AACTAAGAAAGATAACATCTTCATTTGAGTACGAAATAATAATCGTCATGACTTCATTTGAAGCATGGTCGTTCTCTAAGTACCCAACATGCAGTCTACATATAAATTGACACCCCGAGCATTTCTCATGTTCCTAAATGAAGATTGAAACCTTTTTTTCTTCTCTTTTTCCCTTCATTGCGTTAAATTTCTTAAAAGAAAATGGCAACAAACACAATAAACATGAAATACGTCCACAGAATTAAGTAGTAAAGTTAAGCTATTTTTGGGATAATGTTTTTGCATTAAACACTTCTAATACCAAAAGAACACGTTTTCAGAACAAACTTAAAGCCAAATTGAATTAAACACTAACCTCTAATGCATTCTTTATTTGAATTGGATCCGGTAGAAAACGAAATGCAGTTCCTTCAACCTTCAGTGAGTATACCTGTATTTTACATGTCCTTATATATATATATATATATATATATATATATATTATAAAACCAGTAATCAATATTGTTATTTGCAATTCAATTTAAGTTATTATTTTAATTTCTTTAACACAAATGACAATTGAAAAACCAGTAATTAAAGAAAATGAATCTCCCGATCAAGTGTAATCGGCACCACTTTAGCTTACTTCTGAGCTCCCTTCTCCGTAACCGAACCTATGCAAAGAAAAAGTGAAATTTGAAATTTTCTCCAATTTTAAAATTTTCAACTAACCTGAGCGAGAAGTGCCTCGGCGTCTTCTAGGAGAAAGCAAAGCAAGCCAATAGACTTGGCTCCATTGAGAACAGAGATAAGCACAAACTCACTGTTGGAGTTGCTCACCGTATACACGGCGGTTCCCACTAGTTTTTTCGCAACTTGCTCGGGACTCAACGTAGCAGCCGCCGCTACCGCAGCCTTCGGCTGAGAAACCGAAGCAAAGAGCGGATGATGGCGGGAAGTAGCCGAAAGGGAGAAACCGGAAGCTAAGTTGGCGACAAGACGGCTGGTGTTGTGGAGGCGGGTGGCGAGCTCGGCGCCGAGACTGTGGATGAAGGTGGAGAGGGATGAGAGAGGCTTTAAGCTCCGTTTGGTTCACGGTATAATTTATTCCTAATTTCCCCCTGTTTTCCCGGCAATGTCTATCCCCATCTTTATTTCATTATTTCCGACCCGTTATTTAAAATAACCTTCTTCTCACTTCGTTCTAGTTATTGGAATTCATCCCCTTCTTCTACCTCCTCCCTCGCGCAGCATTTGCTTATCACCATGGTTTTCTCTCACTGACTTCCTCCTCCGTAAATTCGTACGTTTCCCTTTCATTTTTTTTTCTTTTATTCAAATTTCATTTATCATTTTATCATCTAATAAAAATATTTTATTTTTCCTTACTTTTTGTCTCTTACTTTTTTTTCCTTTCATTTTTATTCAATCTCGTATATGTATACGAAATCATTATGAAATTGTTATTCTTTATTTTTTTGTAAATGATTTGATATTTTTTTATTTTATTCGTCTTTTGGATTAAATTGTTGATTTAGTTCTTTGATCTTATACTCTAAAGTTAAAATTATACTCTAAAGTTGAAATTATCTTTGTGAATTTTGCATTGAATGAATCTATGTTGCAGTTTTTAGATTGATTTGAACATTAAATTTGATTATTCATTTTGTGTGCAGGTATCGTTTCCAAGTCTTACTTTACAAACTGAAACTTAAGATTTGTAATTTGAGGTTCATACTTCTTATTGCTCTTCTTTTTTTTTCCTTTTTCATGTTTATTATGTTTCATTTATTTCATAGTTTTCGCAGCCATTATTGTTTAGTTGCTTTTTAGAAGAGTTTTCATTTCGTTGAATGACTAATAATGTCATGTCACTTTGAAATCGATTGCCGATATTTACTTAAAAATTTTATTTTTATTATGAAATTAGGTTCATTAGGAGTTCTATATACAGAAAAACACTTTGAACTCATTGGAAAAAGATAATTTTGTTAATTGGATATTAATTTGTTTATCTGAGACTCAGATTAATATGCATCCTCTTTTTCCTTCAACTTCTTTCATTTTTAACCATAGATGTTGATTCAGCTCAGGCCGATATCAGTTTCAAAGCAACGAAGTTGGCATCTGAGGGGATGATCATGTTTTTCCCCATAGAAATTCTTTGAAACTCATATTCTAATCCAAATGGAAAAATCTACAGTTGTGGACTGATATTTCATTCCAAAGATCATCTAGTTTCTTCCTTCTGCTGAGTTTTGGAACATATGCTTTACCTCTCTTTCACACGGTCGATGTGCTTATTGCTTTGGTATTGGTGATATTTGTGAATTTATTAGCTTTGGATTTGATCTTGGTTTTATTTATTTATTTATTTATTTTGCGTACGCACATAGATGCTTGTTGGAATTAGAGTACTGACTGATGTTTGTGTCACTTTATTTGCATGTGTTGTTGTAGCAATATTCTTATACAGTTGAAACATTGAATGAAACTGAAAATGGAGATGAATAGCCTGAAAGATGCAGTTAATTGTGTTGTAAAGAAGCAAAAACTTCTTCCTCTAAAACCCAGGAAGTTACAGACAAGTTTGTCCGATAAATTGAGAATGCAATAGGGATGATGCAGTCAACCACCGTTGATTATAAATCTGTACTTGTTAAAATGAAGACAAAATTGCATGAAATTGCTCCACTCATAGCTTTGGTAGCTCTGGAACATATGGGGCAGTTTATCATGGCAAATGGAAAGGTTCTGATGTAGCAATCAAGAGAATTAAAGCTAGCTATTTTGTAGGGAAGCCTTCTGAAAGAGAACGATTGATAATAACTGTTATCACTTTTCCTTTCATAGCTTTGGTAGCTTGTAATTTGAGGCTTCTTGATAGTTAAAAGAATGACAATTGATTCATAATGACAAATGATTCACCTGATCATTTGTTTCTAGCTTCATTTGTTCCTTTAATTTAAGTTATCTTTTATCTCTGTCTTTAGGTTTTACTAGGGAGGGATTCTCACACCTGCACTGCCGGAGCATTCGGTCATTTTGCTATAGGAATTGGACATACAGATGCAGGCTTTGTATTAGGCACCGGGAAGCTTATGCTAAAGGCGTGTTAATTATTCTTTGATGTTTTGCTTGATTAAAAACTGTGTGCGTTTGTTTTTGGTGTATTTTGATTTTTCATTTGGTTTCGTACTAGTATTTGGCTACCTTAGGTTCGTAGCGTAATAGCGTTATGCCCACCATAGAATTATAGATGTTTTTTTTCGAATGAGAATTTAAGGTGGTCCAACTCTGTTATCCAAATTCATTGAAGGTCGATGAAGTTGTAGCTATTTGATGAATAGTTTTGTCCTTCATATCCGTTGCTCTAGGCATATAGTTTAATCTGGTAGACCATCTTGGCATTTTCTTTTGCAAACGAATATTCATGACTTGTATGAGTTGAAGCACTTACAAAATTACGATTAATTTGGTGGTATATTTTGTTGCATATTCGATTGTGGGTTCCACCAACTTTGAGATTTGTAATGGATGGTGAAATGCCTCTTTATCTACTTGCAAAGGATTTGATTTTGCAAGAAAGATCATAATATAAATTCATGAGATAAATAATAATGATAAAGTATGTAGAATTAAGTATAAATATAAAAGATAAATAAATAAATTATTGTATATAGAAGATATAATAAATATTATATCTTAGATAACAAAAATAATTTACAACTTTTTATTATTATGAATATCTATGATAAATTATTGTATATAGAAGAATGTAAACATTGTCGATTGAAAAATACAATAAACATCTCAGTGAATGCGTTACATATGAACCGAAGCTAATTTCCACAATGTAAACATTTTGTTAAATGTTGATGTAAAATTTTAATATATTTTTACATAAATTATGTAAAATTTAATATTAATTAAAATTAAAATAATACATGATATATATAAATACTAAAGTAATATATTATCAACATATAAAATTTTTATATAAATAATTTTTATTTAAATATTTAGAATTTCACTTTTTAAAAAATATAGAACAAGGACAATTTAGTAAAATATACATTACAGTAATCTTTTATTCCTTCAACCAAACATTGTAATCTTATATTCCTGTCAAACCAACCAAACACAGTAATGTAACATTCTCAGTAATCTTATTCTCTGGTAATCTTTTACTCCCACTGATAATCTTACATTCTGTGAACCAAACACACCCTAAGGGAAGTGAAGGAGGTTTTGGGAATTCCATTTTTTTCCCCGAAGGAAAAAGAAAATTGCAGTTATGAGCCTAAAATGTATTTTGTTTTGTTAAACGGATGTTTTCAATGGTCCAATAGGCTACACAGGCTTCGACCCGATTTGACACTTTGGGTTTGAAAAGTTTATCAAAGCCTAATGGCCCGACTCACCTGTGGATAGATCCGTCCGAAACGACTTGGACTAAGAACGAGTAAAATTCTACTCGATTCAAGAAAATTTTTAAATATATAACTTACAATCTCTCTTATTATTAAGTTAAGACATCATTGATCGGAATAGTTAATTCAATGAAAATAAATACAAATGTTGTATGGCATAATTTAGGGTTCTCTACCCGGTTATTTATGGGAGTCTAGAGGAACAATCTTTGACCCGAAATTTAAAAGACGTTTGTTTTTTATTTTGAGATGAAAGATCGTTAAAGTTAAAAAAGTAATCGTAAAAATCATCCAATTATTTTTATCAACGTTAAACATTTTGTCCCGTAAGTTTAATATCTGAAAAATAAAAAATAGTTGTTCTGCCCTGCAGATGCTCAAATCCAAATCTTTAAAGAAAAATGTCATTCTCTTTTGTATTAAGACCGCTCAATGAATTCTTTTTTTCATTTTTAAATTGTCATGTTTGGTATCTGTTTTCTACATTGGATCTATTTTATCATGGAGGGTTTTTATATCTCAGCTTTGCCTTATTTTTGCATGTGGGATCTTTATAAAGACTGTTTGATTCGTGGGAAAGTGTTGAAAGGAAGAAAATTTATTAAAGCAATAATATAACTCATAGAAGTTGATTGAAATTGGAAAAGAAAAATCAAAACTAGGCCTGGCTTTTAAGTTTGTCCTCCCCTTTAATGGAGTTCTTGCAATGAGCAATTGCAGATTGAATCGCAGCCTGCAGCTCTTCCGTGGTGCTCTCGCTGGTTGAACAAGGATGCCCTTTGGTTGCAACAAGAAGACCACTATTCGAAGGTGATGTTCTTATTGAAGGAGGAGCTGAATAATAGTCTCCTCCTCTCCTTCCTCTCAACTCTGTTTTTTTGTTCCTCAAATTACCTGAAAATGAGTAAGCTTGTCTATGGAGATGGAGATTCTCTCTCTTTCTTCTGAAGAACAAAAATGGCCTAATCATTCTCGTGTACTTATTTAACACATTGAATCTCATCTTTTTCTTGTCATTCTCTTTCTCTTCTGTTTCTCTAACCTTGACGCTCCCTTTCTGCTGTCTTTTTAAACCGAACAAAGAGAAAGAATTTGACTTGTTCTTCACTTTCGCTTCTATGGCGTGACTTTGATGATGATAGCCGTGGCTGAGCCTTTCATGTTTCTGGATATTGCCGTCGCTTTTGTTGATGGGTTTTACAGATTTGAGATCATAGAATAACTCTCTTCCGGGAAAGTTGAAGCCGTCCGATGAACTCGTTGATAAGCGTGGGGAGACAGGGAGGTGAGAAAGGAGATGAAGGGGAAGCAAGTGTCCATGGAAGAAAATGTCATCGGCCGGAGATAAATCGACGGCGATGGAAGATGGAGTTTTGGTTTTATAATCGGAAGATGAATGGAGAGAGATTCTGAAGGAAAATTCATGACAAGGGGAGGTGGAAGATGGTGAAGGAGCTGAATTAGGCGATAATGTTGATGATGATCCTTCTTTTGTTTCCTCTTTTAGCTTGCCTTCTTCTTCATCGTCTTCTTCATTATCATCATCATTATCTTCTTCTTCTTCTTCTTCTTCATGTTGATGATGGTAAGTATCCATGATTGATACTAAGACTACCTTCAAAGAGTAGAAAGACGTGAAGAAAAATTCTCAAATTTTGTTGTTGTGTGAAGAGAGTGGGAGTTTGGGGTTTAAGATGGTTTGTATTATAATAATCTATCATCCACTTAAAAAAATTTAATTAGATTCTTAAAAAGCAAAAATCTTAACTAAACTACCAAGTAACTTATCTTTAATGAAAATGATATCCACTCAATTGATTTTTAACAGTATATTATTTTTTATTAGAACTGATTAAATAATTGAATTTTAAGTCTTAATTTGTAAGTATCGATTTATAATTCAATGAATGAATATGACATGGACAGCAATGATTAATAGAAGGGGAAAGAAAATTTTCAAGAGTTAGGTGGGAAGATTGAGCCCCCACACACGTGTTGCAAGAAAGTGAGGAATTTTGTTCATTAAGGTGGACATCTGAATCATGGTGGCATTATTCTAAAGATAAGCAAAGCCAAAAATGTGAAGAAAACAAAGATTTCACCTTTAACCCCCACAAAGCATCACTTGGGCTTTGTGTGGGGAACCTCTCCTCTTGCCCATTGCCTTTGCTTACCATCACAATAACCGAGTTAAATTCGAGGTCTTTTACTTGCCAAATACGATACAAGACGGTATCCATCTCCACCCAAGCTGCCGGTGCCTTATCTTCTCGTCCCCACTGCAAAGCTGGATGCTAAAGGCCTTCTTCATCTATTAAAGTCATAACTTCGTCACGCTTCGGAATATGGGTCTTGCAGAAGTAGGGAGAAAGGCCCTGTCATCGTGTTTCAAAAAATAGTACCAATTAAGTGATAAACAAACACAATTCTTTAATATGAACAGATCCTTTTTCCTTCTTTTCATTTTGCTTTCTTATTTCTTTCTTAAGACCTACTGATGATGACATATGAAACCTAAAATACATAAGCAGTTCGAGTGTTGTTCATTCTAAAATAACAAACCTGTCAGTTTTTTAGCAGTGAAACATGCATAAATCATCAATAACAGTAGCAATGGTCCATCTCATGTCCTATGTTTCAATCACGAACCAAACAGACGAATACCGACCTTCAGTATCGATATCAAATAACTCTTCAAAATTCCTAGCTTCCTACCAAAACACCAAATGATTTCCTTGACTGACATAGTATCACCATACAGTTCTTAACAAAGAGATGAATTTGAAAACAATTGGATCAGCAGTAATTATTGAAGTTCATTAACTCTAGTTTATGCTCTTAGCACTAGTTCTATTTTAGACTTTAGAAGCACAGTCCATGAAAGAAAAAAGGAAATTAGCAGACACCCAGATTTGTTACAATATAGATTTTCTAACCTATATTATCAACAAATAATACATTTGTTTATCTAATTTCAGCATATAGAACAGGTAAGTTAACCCCAAAATATAATTTTGTTTCCTATATCTCAAACTTCCTACAAAACATGTATTTTCTTCGTATTATAATCATGTTTAAAGGATTTTATAATGTATATAAATCTGGCCACTTCCGAGTTTTCATGTATACCATCATCATATCTAGATTGAATCAGAAAACAAACCAGCCAAAATCCACCGGAAACATGTGATTGAAGCATGGACTTGATGAAGACATGAAAATCAGGGCCTAAATCAGATTCTAATTTTTCCGCTTTCTCCATTTAAATGGCTATGATTCACACAAATTATACATAAGTCAGCTTTTATAGTAAATTCGCTATACAATTTATGTTAGAACAGAGGTCTAACAGCTCAAAACGTGCCATCAACTCATTTATTGTTCAACAAAACAGAAAAATCAGAAATCACACATTGCCCCCCCCTTTTTATCCTTTTAGGAGTTTTGAGTCCCCACCTTTGCCAAGCATTCCTTCTTCCATTGAACTCTCAACCTGGAAAAGTAAAACGGATCCTGTGAATGCATGAACAAGCCTCTGCCAAAAGTAGTCTACAAAATATTATTTATAGCCGGGATCTTCGGATGTATTTGATTAGATTGAAGTGGGAATTCCTCCGAGAGGTATATTGATGTCTGCTTGAGGAATTTGATGACTTTAGATCCCAACCTTCGACATTCTTCGGAACACAAGCATCGAAAAGTATTTGACCAAGAACCCCATGGAGATTAATGCTTGATGGGTGAGGCAAAGGGATCAAACCTTCTTTGTGTTGGTCTTGCGCAGACCCGAAATCCCTACCTTCATAATATTCTATTGAACTAGGCAAGAGGAAATTATCACTTTGCACCAGACTTCCCCGGAAGCTCTTGTTTGGGCTTAAGGCTATTTTGCTGATATTGGAGATCAATTCAGAGATTTCATCCTGTGCGCCTGCTGGTTCAACTCGTTCACCCTCGAATTGTTGAATATTTCGGGAATACAAGGCTTCTGCCTTACCAAGAAGCTCGGTCACAGCAGCTTTGTAATCAATTGGATAATGCCGGTAATGACCTGTAAAGACCATTAATTGGCACAAGTTGAAATAATCAATGCTATTGTCTGAATAAGATATATGCTTTAGAATTCTCTATTGCTTATGTATTGCTCATTTTTGTTACTTCTGTCAATTTATTTCTACAGCTGCAGCAGCTAGGTCTATGCGTAATATAATTGTATTATCTTTTTCTATCATGCAAAGTAACCGGTCTGGACCAGAAAAGGTTTCTTTCAAATGTATAGCACAATCATGTCATCCCTCTGAAGCTTCAAGTTTAAGCATTTTTGGTAAAGAAAGACAGCAAATCCCAATACTACCAACAGGGAGTAACAAAAAGCAAGGAGGCAGGCAAGGGCTTTGGCCCTTTGGTTCATAGAAATTTTGCATTTTTGGCTCCTCCCAAAAATTAATAATTCAATTCAAGTTTTTTTAACACTATTTTTAGCTTTGGCCCACCGAGATTTTATAGTTTTATCTCGGCCCCTTAACACAATTTCTGGCTTTGACCCTAGCCAACGGCATTTGTGCGATCAAAACCCAAATGTTTCATGATGTTTAGTAAAATGAGAAAAGATGGTGACTGCAGCATGTGACGCGTGCTTGAAGATGAATGAATGACTACCTGCATTATATGTAAGAAGCCACTGTTCTTTCCAATCTCTTCAGTTTAAATATGTTTAATTGAACCCTGAATAAAACTTTATATATGGTATGACCATGTTCTAATAACAGCAACTCCTCATAAGTTTAGAAACTGACCTACATGAGGAGAACCGTTGAACTTCACAAGTTTTAAATCACCACCAAGTTGTTGTATTCTTTGAGCGAAATTGCAGATAATTTGATAAGGAGCAAGATCATCATTTTCAGAGCATAATATGAGATAAGGAGCCCCCATTCTCTGCAAAGGATTTAAATTAGTAAATAGAATATTCAAAAATTTGAAGCAATAATTTGATAACAACTTTTTATTGTACACTTACAACTGAAGCATATAGGGTCTGCCAATACTCGGCACGATGGGATTCAAACCTGCTGAGGAATAGAGCGTCAAGACCAGAAGAAATGCCATTTGCTATCCACGATGCTATTCTTGGTGGATGAGACACTTTGAGAACTGTTGGGTGAACCGCAAATCGAGCACCCAGATCACTGGTAAAATCCACCGGACTGGAATCAAAAATATGGCCCGCAAAACACTCCTTCACCAGTTGGAGATCATCCTTCACCGGAAGTAAAAAAGAATATTTAAAAGACAAGCAGAACTTAAATATCCATAATAACGTTCATAAACAATATTGATAAATACTCCAGGAATCCAATTTTTCAGCAAATGCCATTATACCACCATTAGTTTATTTTTATGTCATATGGGACAGAGAAACAACGATTTCCAGTGCTGATACCTTAATAGCCCCCCATTAGCACCATTAATCCATTTAGAAATAAAGAAGAAGAGAAAGAATGATTGCAATAATATGATTTAACAAGTTTGTACAAATCTAGCATATTGATAGAGGGACAACATACTGGATTTACTTGTACTTCGCACAATCCCTCGATCATCTGCAACAAGAAAATATAAAGCTATATCACCACAAGCAAACGAAACAAGCCTGTAACAAACAAGGTCAAAAGACAATGGGGTTTTCAAAGTTTTAAAAGGAATACCTGAAGAACCTTGTACATACAGGCCTTAGGACAGCCAGAAAAAGATGCAAAGACCACGGGGCACGGCCTCATCTTCAGCTCCTGCATAAAATAAAAAGAGATAATCCCCTCAATGTACTAAAGCACAAAATTCCACACTATACGGTTACTCTAATAGAATCAGCACCACTTGAAACACTTGAGCAAGATTCAAGAGCCCAGACGTCGAAATCGACATTGTTTTCTGTATTACCTGAACAAGTTCTTTAAGAAGATCAACTGCTAGAGCAGCAGCCTTCTCAGGGAAGAACCTGCACAGATAACGAAACATCAGAATCCACCTCCAAATTAACAACAAATTTCAGTTAAAAGTATCAATCGAAGGCATATGAAAATACGCAGCAAACCAAACCAAACCAATATCCCTCAATTCCATATGCCATATGATTAGCGTTAGTGCATAATCATTCCTTGTTTAATCAGAAATGCAAAATCATTATAGAAGATCAAGATCAAGTCATTAAATAAACGCTCAATAATCGACAATAAAAAAAAGAGCCCAATTTTCAGAACAGGAAATCAAGTGCTACAGTAAGTCAAAACCATCCACCAATCAACAAAAATATGAATAAATAAAAGGTAAATCAAACCCAAAATGGGCTTAAGAAAACACATACATGTTTAAGAACTCCGAATGACAAACGAGAGAATCCCAACCCAAAGAAGAGTAGAGCTGAACATAGTTCTTCAAGTGCTTCTCTTGACTCGACATCCAAGCAAACGCTACAACTATACCTCCTCCATTTCTCCTTCTTTCCTTTCTTCCCCAATGGAATCTCCCCCCAAATCCCCACATTATCCCTTTGTTTTACCTCTTCCACTCGAATTTCCAAGCAATACTTAAGCTTCTCTCAGCTCCCCGCGCTTCAAGAAAAACGGTAGAAACCGCAGAGAATTCGATTTAATCAATGGACCAAAAATGAAATAGATTAATAATGCAAGTCCCATTTTTTTTTTGTCCAGCATCTTATAGGGAACTGTGAACGAAAATTACGTTTGATTTCCTGCGATTGAATGTATCATTCACTTCTTGCAACCGGGATGGCAAACGATGGAATTGGACGCATTGTTTTTCTCTCTCTCTCTTTTTTTTTTAAATTTACAATAAGTACTATACAAAATAGGGGAAATATATATTTTGGTATTTAACTTCATTTGATACATAATTTTTTAGTTCAATTAAATATTTTTATTTCACTTTAAATTTTAATTTGTCAATAAAGGAAACAGTAGAATAAAAATGCACAAATTGTTTAATTTGATAAGTGTATATTTGGGTGAGAGATTTATTTTACAAATAATTTTATTATTATGAGAATTATTTTATTGTTTGTTTATTTTTACTTTTTTTTAAAAATATTATTAAGTTTTTAAGCTATAATTCTTAAAATAATTATGGTAAGATTATATTTTATCCTTAAAAATAAACAAATTAGTGAATTTAGAAAGTTTATTAGCATAGATAATTAAAGTGGTAAATATAACTTATTTAGAAGTTGCATCATTCTATTTATTATTTTTTATTTTTCTCAAATTTCTATTTAATGATTAATTTTTCTTATTTTAATAATTTTAATTGATTATTGGAGCTAATATCTATACTTATCTATAAATTAAAAAACATTAGATGCTGTTAAGTTCTTTTATACATTACAAAAGAAAATTATTATTAAATTAAGAGATTTGAACGTGAGAAAATAAAATAATTAGGAAATTATGTGAAGAGAAAAATAATAATTAAATTTTAGTTACTTTGTACTCTATTTTCATTCACTTATATTATCACTTAATTTTTTTTGGCATTTTACTTAAATAATAATTAGAAAATTTATTTTATGTATAATAATTAAATAATATTAGCTCCAATTTATCTAAAGTTGAATATTTTAATATTATTAAAAAGATAATTACATTAAACTCTTTCCGAATATTCCTCATTGTTAAGCCAATATATTATCAGCAAATCACAGAAACGCCATTTAATTAATAAAAATACTTACATATATATTTGCTTTCATTGATATATACTTGGATGAATGATTAGATATTAAAGCGAGTGACAATAAAACAATAAGTATTAGTTCTAATTATAAAGAATTGTTATGAAAATATTAATTTTGAATTGTTCACGTGGTTAATGGGGACATGATGTTTAATTTTAATTTTATTTTGATTACATAGAAAAAAGAAAGTTAACAAAAACCAAACGCCTGTGAAGTAGTGTCAGTGTGGGATACGCTTCACATGATGTTGGACCAATTCGATCATTAATAAATAATCTCTTGATCCCATGTTGATTGAGGGTGCACGCCTTTATATAGATTATATTTAACTACCAATTTAATTTATGTTTATATTATTCAACTATTAATTTTATAAAAAAATCATTTTTTTTGTTTTTCATTGTTGAAAAATTAACAACGATGTCGATGTGGTATTTTTTAAAATTATTTTTCAATGCTGACACATCATTGTCTTATGGTGACGTATCAGTATCGCTGTTAATTTTTTAATTGCGGGTGACAAAACATAATATTAACTATAATTTTGAAAAAAATAATAGTATGATGACCAAAACAAAAACTAATAATAAGTTGATGACCGAATAGATAGTTTACCCTTGTATTTAAAAACCATATATATAAACCTAATACACATTCGACCCCACCACAAACTTGGTAATGGTTTCAGTCTTTTCAATCTTTTTCTGTTAATGTATGTTTCGAGTTGATTTAATAATAAAATATAAAAAATTACAATAATATGTATATAATTATAGGAATAAAAGATATTTTTATTAAAAAAATCTAAACTAAATTGATGTGATTTGGATAACAAAATTTTATGTGCGTAAACTGCTTTTTGTGCAATTAAACTCTACACTTGTTCTTGTTTTGATCATTCAACTTTTAAAAAATTTAATCTTATCACTAAACTTTTGAATTGTTCCTTGTTTGGCGGTCGTTAAATGACTAACATAAACATCAAAATGTTACGTTTTGAGATTTTATTCATAAAATTTTCTAAAAATTTTAACCTTTTGTTCCTGGTTGACTAAATCAGTCTCCACCATCGTTCAACCTCCACCAACCATCATTTGCGATGTAATTGGCACCAAAGTGTATCCCTTCCTCCCCCTAATTTTTATTCTCGGTTTGATTTTTCTTGAAATCGCCTCAAAAATTATAAAACTCGCATTAAATTTTTGACTTATCTTGTTCTGATCTACAATTTCCATTGTTTGATCAATATGAAATTAAGATACATTACTTTTTTCCTTCTTCCTAATCTCCTCACAGTTTAGGTTTGAAAGAAAATACTCAAGCACTAGTGAATCAAAGAGAGTCTAAAATTTTGATTTTAAGAAGTAATGTGAAACTTAGATGATATTACACTTAATGGTCAAGTGACCAAAATAGAAATAATTTAAACGATAACTTAATTTTTGACATTTAACGCTTATACTCCTGACATTTCTAATGTTTAGATTCGGACCCTCGATAAATAATAACAATTATTTTTTCACCGATATCAATTAATTCATGTTTAGGATCTATTTCTAACCCTCGGATATGTGACAATTACTGTGAACAACCCTTTCACTTTTTTTATAAGGGAACTCAACAACTTTTCATAAAGCAACCAAATGATGTAAACTTATCAAATCCACATTAATATTTAAGTAATGCAAATCATGAACATAAAATAATAATTACGTAAGACAAAAAAAAAGCACCTAAACTCTTTGAATACCCTCTTCCGTAACTCTAATAATAAATTTGAAAAAGTCATGAGACTATTTTTTTCTCGTTTTATTGATAATTAAGTTTTAAATTTTCAGGTTAAACTATACTTATAGTTGCTGAAATTTTAGGACACTTTCATTTTGGTCATCAAACTTTTAATTCACTTTATTAGTTACCATTGATTAATCCAATAGTAGGAAGATTTTGTTTGGCCAAAAAATTAATGTACTTCGATTTTAAGTTGATTTAACGGTTAACAATGGTAAATTAAAAAATTACCTTTTTCTTTGGGATAATTGCAGATTCTATTACCTAAAAGAACAAAAACAATCTGTAAAAATATTAAGAAATTACAGCAGACCAACTTATACAAACCGGCCCCCATTCCACACAGGTAGCACGGTTTAAATGGCAAAACTTGCGACTTGTCGCACCGATCACCCTTAGTTCCATTATCTCCTTCAAACGACACACGTCTTTTAGTCCCAACCCTCTTTATATTGGACCATCATCTCTTTTCGTTTTTGTTTTCTCTTTCCTACCTTTATGATTTTTGATATAAAAAGTTATTAAATTACTCATTTTTTCCTTTATCTTTCATTTGATTTAAACTCGTCAAAAAATCTTTAAATCTTTTCAAATTTCAAATAAATCTTGATTGAACTAAAAACTAAAATTTAATAATTATCATAAATCATATAAAAATATTTTTTAATTTTATTCAGTAAAAAATAATAAATGTCTAAAATTATTAAATTTAATCTAGAAAAAAGTAATTTGCAATTACATATACAAATTCAATAATCATATAAATAATATAAATTTAATAAGATTATTTCAAACTGCCAACGAGTATTGGTACAAGTGGTTGAGATTTATGAATTTGAGCTTGTAAGACCAAGTTCAAATTCTACCGGTGGGCAATTTGTAAATTTTTATGTAAATCACAATTGAGTCTTAGATATGCCCTGACCCTGTACTGGGGAGTCACCTTGACCTACACTCTTTATGTACAAAAAAAAAAAGAATATTTCAACTTAACATAATTATACAATAATATAACATAATATTGTAAGATAATTAAACGTGAAATGACATGTAAAATAATATAAATGGTATATGAATGTAATGGATGTTTTTTTTTGCAAAATATAGTAGAATATTTGTAGATTAATCTTTGATAAATTAATAATTTTTTTTTTATAATAATAATTTTTCGATCCTTATTTGAGTTTAAAGTTTAAATTGATAATTTCGATAAATTAATAAGATAATAGTTTTCTGAATGACCCTTTTATAAATTTATAGTCCCTTCAATATTATAAATTATTAATTCTATAAAACTACAAATACAACTATGACAACTTAGTAAAATATGATTCTATTGTTGTTTGCTTCGTCTTAAAATATAAATCTAGTTGTATTCCATCTCTAACTTTTCTTATTACATCCAAAAGTTATGGTATTGCGTTCTCATACTACAACAAAACATTATGACGAGTTATTGCCGGTATGAGTGCTTCTTTCTGCGTAATTGGTTGCAAAGACATTATATCATCTTCAGTTTAATCCTTAATAAGATTTTCAATAACACTAGCTACAATTTGTTCTAAACTTTGGACCTCTAAACATGTACAATTTTCACCCAGTAATCCAATAGGTGATTGACATCCATTTTGTTGCGTTACCAAAGGTCATTAATCATCGTATCAAGTTCATGAATGCATTATTCAGTAGTTTCTTCATTTAAATTCCTTGAGGCTACTTTATCTTGCGAGCAAATTTTACAGTGTCGAAAATAATATTCTATTGTCTTTTGCTGAACATTTATCAACCAAGTTGAGATTGCAAGATTGATGATATATAAAAACATTAATCTTTTCTGAATCAGATTCTCCCAACTCATAACCCTTTAATACCATACGGTAAAATCTTCTGCATTAATTAGGAATGTTTGATGTTGTTTATGTAGTGGTTGATTTCCTTACCATACTTAAACTTGCATTAAGTTTTAACTAATACTATAATAAATTTTATTTGTTCAATGGGTATGCATCAATTAGTCACATTATACATGAACATCATATTGAAGTTTTAACTACTACTACGTATTACAATGAACTTGCATTAAGGTTAACCTTGCCAATTGATGGTAATCTAGGACGAACATAAACTTTTATGTTTAGGGATGTAATTTTAAATTT